TGGGATTAAAGGCGTGCGCCACCAACGCCCGGCTATAAGTTATATTTCTAAGACCTTGGGAACTAGACCTTGCATAAAAGATCTCTACGTCTCTCACTGTGACTCAGTGAAAGGCACAGGGCTGAAGCCCCAGTTTATAGCACACGGGAGGGAAGAACTACACTGCTAACAAGTCACACGAGTCCCTGGGAGAAAACGGTTTCAGAAACACTAGAGCTTGAATTCCGTGTTCCAGCCAAATGATAAACCCAGAGCCCCTGGAGGAACACTGAGTCTTGACTCAAATTGAGAGGAAGGCAGAGGCTCTGATCCCACACCTGAAATGACTGAGTGTGTGTGAGGCAGCAAGCAGCATGAGCTTTGGCAGTCTGACAACCAGAGCTCAGACATCACAACGTTATTCTCTGACCACTACATGTTCGCCATATGAGTGAATCCATCCACAGGTATCACACACATGGTAATGGTTGAAAAACAACTGCTTTTAAACCATACACCGTCTTTCAAAGGTTAGCCTGCCAACTACTAAGAGAACTATGGAAGAACAGGGCCTCTGGCAGATGGTGGTTGTTGTTGTTTTGAGACAAAGTTTTTGCTATGTATTCCAGACTAGCTTTAAATTGACTAGAATCACAAGCTGGCCTTGAACTAACACTAATCCACCTACCTCAGCATCCTGAATGCTACAATTACAGGTGTGGGCCACCACACCTGGCTCAGAACACAGATTTCCTAAGTATCAGAGACACAAAATCTGTTCAGAAATGGGCCAAGTAGCCACCAAGCCAGAGGCTACAACAGTTTCAAAGACTAGCTAACCAAAGTATTAAAATAAGGAACCCACAGCACAATGTCTAATCCCAAGCCCTACAACCTGTTAAGTAAACACAGACTGAGTGACTAAGAAGTAGGAGATTGTCCTGGAAGTGAAACATCTGCAGAAATTATTGGATGGGATACTTCAGCAGTTTCATACACATCACCTTGCTGGACAATTCCAAAAATCCTGTGAGGTGGAATGAAAGTCATTACCCATGGTCTACATATAGAAACAGGTTTAAGCAGGTGACAAGACTTACCTGGTCACAGTACTCTTAAGTGTCAGGTAAAGGAACTTTGAGACAAGTCTACTTTAAATCGGTGTGTAAAATGAACCATCTTAAAGTATGAAGTTCTCTAAAAGTTCAAAAGCTCATTTGCACAAGCATTCTAATTTAAGTAAAGCTACCTAGAAACTTAGTAAGAATTCAGGGACCAAGGCAGCCAATGTAATCTTTGCACAATTCCTAGAACATCTAAGCTAGGGATATAAAGTCCCATTGTTATTCTTCCTAAGGAATCATGAACAACGGTTTTAAAGGGATCTACTCTAATCTGTATTTTACAGAAGAGAAGGACCAAGGATAAAATGCAACCTAAGTATAGAACCACAGCAAAATCATGTCTCCATTCAGGTTTATCTTCCTCTTAAGTAACTATGCCTTCTTCAAATTACAGCTGAAATACTACGGTTTGATCCAGAGGACTGCTGCCCAGTCCCAGGGGTATTTGTTAAACATCAAAACAGATTCTAGAAAAGTATTTGGTGTAGGAGCAGGGAGTTTGAGTGAGAGGTTTAAAGCCTGCACTTACTACTGAAGAGTGAACAGCCAAGGAGGCCAGGAGACGAAGCACATATTTAACTAAATGGTCACTCTGTATCGTGTTACAAGCAGTTCTAACAACCATAAGCGAAAGGGGTAGTTAAGACACTGAACACCTAAAAGACCTAAGGACGAAAACAAGCCCTGACCACCTGAGATTCTCTAGAGGATATAATGATCATACCTCTCTGGTCCAAAGCTTTCCTGGCTCCAGACAGCTATAGCCAAGTGGTTAGCTCCAACAGAGAACCACCATAAACTGCACAGCCCATGAAAGGTGCCATTCTGCCCTTCAGAAATGTCAAAGGCAAGTGACACAAATCAGCTTCCAGAAGGTAAGTCTTGGGTGATCACGTCCACACAATCCAGCCACTACAAACATAATCAATTCCCCCTTAAGATTCAAGATGGGGGGCTAGGAGGGCTTACTGCTCTTGCAGAGACCCTGAGTTCAGTTCCTAGCACCCACCTTGGGCAGCTTACAACCACCTATAACTCCAGCTTCAGGAGATCTGACACCTCTGGGCTCTGAAGTCACCTGTACTCATGTGCCCACACCCACACAGAATGAAAACACACACACATTTTTTTTTTTTTTAAGAAGAGTCAAGCTGGGTACCTCTGAGAATTAAAAAAGATGATAGCTTGACCTTTGAAGTCATCAGTGACCAGGATTTCTTGGGAGTCAGGATCAATGTCAATGGGGAATGGGCTGGGGAAGTCAAGACTACAGAGTGAAGACACAAGAGAATGCCTGTGCTTTGATCTGTGGACTGGCTACTTAAAAATGAACAGTTTGCAAAGATTAAGATGTACATTATGACTTGTTGTGTGTTATAAGCAGTAAAGCATTCATTGTTTTCATGGTTTAATTACATCTTAAATAGAATGACAGCCAGGAAATGAATGAAACACAGTGAAAACATGGCCCTGCAGCCCTAATACATGCTTGTTTGTTGTTTTTTTAAGTACAGAAAAATAACTTTGAGGGGTAGTGGTTAATGTATGTATTCATGTGGGTACATGCATATGTGGTGTGTTATATGCAGCTGTTTTGTGTGTATACACCCACAGACAACTTCAGCAACCTTCCTTGATTGCTTCTTTTCCCTGAGACCCTGAACCCAAGGCTCATTAATCCAGCTGGACTGGCTGTCCAAGGGTCTTTACAGGTCTGCCAGCACTGGAGCTACAGACACAGCTGCCCTAGGTGCTGCGGATCAGAAATCAGGTCCTCATGCTTTGTGCACAGGCACTTTACCAATGCAGACACCTCTCGGCCCAAGAATTTGTCCTTAAGTGCTCAAAACAGGCTGGTGTTGGAGAAACGTCTCAACTGCTTTGTAAAATAGTGCACAGTAGAGAGAGAATTTATAACGATAGGATGGAAATTTTCATGTAATAAAACTACATTGGTTTTTATAAGCCCCACGCAGTTGATCTTGGGGCTTGAAAGTTTGAGGTATTAAAATAAAAAAGGAACAATTTTCATGCATTAACCCATATGCTTTCCTATATTATGAAAGGCATATACTTAGCTGAGCTTTATTGGTCCAGTCCAAAGCAGAGCAGATACAGGCTGCATACTTCTGCATAGGAACTGCAATGAATCAAAAAAACCTAGAGACACACTTTGAAGGAGTTTTTGTTTCTGTTTTGACAGGGTCTCACTATGTAGCCCAGGCTAACTTCTAGCTTGCTATTCATCTGCCTCAGCTCTCAAGTACTGGTTAGTATGGGCACTATACCTAGCTTATTCTTTTTTTGTTATTTTGTCTTTTTTTTTCAGAGCTGAGGACTGAACCCAGGGCCTTCAACCACTGAGCTATATCCCCAACCCCGCTTATTCTTAATTTTAAATTTTTTTTTTTTTTTTTTTTTGGTTTTTCGAGACAGGGTTTCT